GGCTGACAATTTCCTTGTGTCTGTATATTATATATGTATATATATTATAAAACTGATTGTGGTGAGGTTTTCAGTAAAAGAAGTGGCTCTACTCTACAGCATTTTTCTGCAAGTCCAAGACAACCTGATTATGAACCTTCAGTGGACGGGTACTTGATGCTCAGGACTCAAAGGAAATTGGTTGAATGCTGATGGGCAGGCTTCTTCCCGTTAAAGGATTGGTGCTGTCTCTCATAGTGATGAGTCTGCACAGGATAGCCCTGGAGAGGAAGTAAGTGAAGCAGCAAAAGTTGTATATTTTATTTTATAGCCTACAAGACGTGCGACCGTTTCTACTGTACGGTCGCACGTCTTTTGTCTAAGGAGCATGCTAGAAAACCAGCCGAGAATCGTACGATTTTCGGCTGGTTTTTAAGATGATCGTAAGATCAATGCCGCATGGACCGATGTGCGCACGCGCACACTGCCCGTTCAGCATTACGGTCATCAGAAGCCCGCCCGTCAGGGGGGCGGGCTTGTGATGATCGCAAGTACGATCTGCCTGTCCAAGATGGGCAAATCGTACGTTTTTTAAATTACTTTACAACCATCGCAAGACTAAGGTCTTGCGATGGTTGTAAAGTGTATGGCACCTTTAAACTAGCAGTTTGATGGACTAGAAATTCGATCCAGGTGTTTTGGGTAAAGAAAAGTTTAACTTTGTTGCAAAGATGGGAGACAGGTTTCTAATGAGTGTCTGTGACCCTCTAAGAATTCCAGGGACTGTGTTTGTTCTGAAATTTGTATTACCTTACAGCGGACCTTCACACTCAAAAATCAAATTCTACCTATGCATCCCTCTATGTATGATGATTAATAATAACATAGATATGTCAGGTGTAAAATGCTGTCATTGTGAAATACTTACACTTGCAGAGCATTCACTTTCTGCTTTGAAAGGGCAAAATGACTTCAGTTTGCCAAAGCAATGCACACTGGGATTGCCTTGTCATTTAAATGATGATGATGTAAGTGCCAAAAGCATTGCATCATGGGAAGGTTACATCAGCAGAGCATTGCTGGGAAATCTCATTTGTAATCTCATGAGATCTCAGGGAAAGGCATTTCCCTCCCCTGAGATGATGTGAATGGTCACATGTCTAGTAGAAAGGCATCATGGCACACTCACAAACTAGCATGTAAAACAACTTGTCTCACCACTAAGGACAATGACAGAGGTTTGGATACACGTCTTCTGCAAAGGATGTGTAAGCCGCACTGCCGCGCCAAGGCACCTCTTATAGTGCGGTCCTAACTCTAAACTATGAGAGTCTCCATCTTGGAGCACATGGGGCAGAAGATATCAAATTGGGTGCAGGCTTGTCAGGAGGACGCCCCACCTCCTTAAAGGTACAGAAACACACAAGGGATCCCGCACATCCCATTGGCAGCTGAGAAACCCCATGCGTCGCTGCACCAAATCGGTAAAGCAAAACAAACGACAAACGCACTCAACAATTTGTTACCATGGGATGTGCGGGATCCCTTGTGTGTTTCTGTACCTTTAAGGAGGTGGGGCGTCCTCCTGACAAGCCTGCACCCAATTTGATATCTTCTGCCCCATGTGCTCCAAGATGGAGACTCTCATAGTTTAGAGTTAGGACCGCACTATAAGAGGTGCCTTGGCGCGGCAGTGCGGCTTACACATCCTTTGCAGAAGACGTGTATCCAAACCTCTGTCATTGTCCTTAGTGGTGAGACAAGTTGTTTTACATGCTAGTTTGTGAGTGTGCCATGATGCCTTTCTACTGTTCTACTGTTCAAAGCCCATTTCGTGTGCACCTTACTGTACAACTGGTAACAAATTGTTGAGTGCGTTTGTCGTTTGTTTTGGTCACATGTCTAGTCACATGTGCCAAAATTCCAGCAGTAAAATGAGATCTAGTAATCTGCCCTTAGTAAACATGGCCACTGTCAGAAGACTCGGGAAGAAAAGAGAAACAAGGTATGCAAAGAATACAAAGCCGGCAATTATCTAGAAGTCTGTGTATGTAGATTGTCATTACTAAACATTTCTAGAGGTGTGTTTGTTGTTATTTTGAAGATATGGGTAAAGGACCGCTTTAAAGCCAATTTCTACCTTTATAAGTGATACAACATTTATTGTGGTGATGTAGAGGTGCAGTGATGATGTACTGTATATGTGTGTACATCACATGTGTCAAACTCAAGGCTCAGGGGCCGAATCCGGGCCACCAGGCAATTTCCTAGACTTCTACTTTCAGATCTAAGTATTAAGTTATTACTAAAACCAGTGATAATCAAATGCAGAGCCAATTATGATAAAGATTAGACATTTATATAGTCTTACAGGCCCTTTGAGGGCAACCATAATGTTGATGCGGCCCTCGATTAAATTGAGTTTGACACCCCTGGTGTACAATTTCATGACTCACATTGCTGGCATTGGGCTTATCAATTAAAAATTCCCTTCACAAGAAACTCAATCTGACACTGGGGTTGGATTGTCTTGTAAGGGATGTAAAGCAGCTGACCCCCTCCATGTGAGTCATCATAACAAGATCACTGCACACCAGCTCTGCCTCTCCAGGTCACTCTGCACTGTTCCGGCGGTGTTGCCACTATGAATATTAATGAATGGGGAGAGAGAGCTCAGTTTCCACAGAGAATCTTGTCCACAAGGAAAGCACAGCATTGTGGGAAATGTAGTTTTCCATACTTATTTTTGAAATACCTCTACAAAGGTGAAATGGGCTTTAAACGCTTTGTTGTTGTTTGCAACTAGTGCATAGTAATCACATAGGTATAATAACTGCATACATAGCCACTCCACTGAAGTCCATTTCTAGTAAGGTCATCTGACTTGTACAGCTTTATTAAACAATGCAGATGTGTATATTTATTCCAAGCTTTGCATAAGAAGTCCAACCATGGAGAATGTAATTATCTACACAGAATTGTGCAAGTTGTACTATAAATTGGTAGACATTATCCAATGGAATGGAAATTCCTGATGAATTTACCATGACCTAGTTCTAAGGATTTCTTTATTTTACCAAAACAAAAATCTGAGGACAGCGTCACTTTGTGGATGTTTAACTGAGATCTCATTGCTCATTGTAAATACGTTTTGGGGTCTTGGAGACTTCAATGAAGCTTTACTTTTAAGCTTTCTTAGGGTTTGTATGGTTTCTGTAGGATTTGTTTCTCCAGACACGTCTGATTTTCTGTTCTGCCTGTGTATACTGCCATACATCATGGCATTGTTTATTGCAAGTTATTGCTCTGCATAAAATATCAATAAAATGAATATCTTAGACAGGAAGAATTTCCCTGAAAACTGGGTTGTCATAAACTTGAAGTAAAGGTTCAGGTGGGTTGTCATAAACTTGAAGTAAAGGTTCAGGTGGGTCAATGCCAAGAGGAATCCTGGAAATCTCTGTAAACAAAACAACGTGTATATGTTAGAAAAAAATATTTTTTAAATAATGAGATTCTTAAAGTAGATATAAACCCAGTCATTAAAATCTGATGTAAGCTTTAACACATTTGTGTAATATCAAAATATGTTTTCAATCTATATAAACCTGTAGCATTTACCTGGTGATCATGCCACCACTTCCTGCTATGGGGGGTGACAAATGTCTCCCAATTGGGCTTCTGCATTGTAACCTTGTTACATGCAACCCTGATGGAGACATCTAGCAGTTGTGTCGACGCACACAGTACGTAAATGTAAAAAAAGTGTTTAATTTTTTATACACAGCACTTTAGGAACAAATGTTGTCCAGTTAAGAGTTTAGATACACTTTAAATAATTTTATATATTCTATAGTACATTTCTATTATATATAGTTTGTAAAAAAAAAATCTGTAGTTTAGCTTTAAGGTAAAAGGCTTCCCCAGCATTGCTGTGTCTGGCTTGAAAGTTATATGTACCTGTGCAGCAGGGAGGTCTTCCCCTCACCCTCATAACTCTGAAAATAACCATTGTGAGGCAACTGATGAGTCATTGAGTAACACCCTGGCATCGCTTCTGGCAAATAGTGCTCTACTCAACCCCATCGAAAGCCTCCTCCATGGGGCTAAAGCTACACGTGTGTTGTAGTGGCTTCTTACTGGCTGCTCAAGTGAGAAAGTGACGAGGTCAGGCAGACTTTGAACCACTCATGCTGTACAGATTCCAGCCCTGCCTGCTGTGATGTCATCATATCATGACATACCCAAGGGGAAGTTTTTACTGGCGCTACTGGCACTTATAATTATGGACGGGAGTGAATGTTACTTTTTTAACAAGCTGTCCATAAATTAGCAAACAGTTGGAAATCGTGCGGGGTAGGAATGATGCAAGCAAAGCATAGCTAAGAAAAATTGTAGTTGTCAAGAACCTGCTGCAGGTTAGCTAGAATACCTGCTAGTGGCACTGTGGTTCCTGGAACTCAATGTTGAATGTCGGTCTCCTCCAGCAAGCATCTTACAGCAGAGCTTAACAGTTCACCACCATAGCTGTTGGGAGGCTATTTATCCGCTCCTCCTTGTTTACTCTTTGCCTCTACATTTCGCATGTTCAACTTTGTGCCCAGGGCCGGATTTCCCACAAGACCAACTGAGGCCTGGCCTCGGGGCGGCAGGGAGCAGAGGGGCGGCAGGGGTGAGGAATTCCTATCGTCCAACACCCGGGACATGCAGTTCCGGGCACCGGGCGGGTAATTGTTTTCTACATTTAGCCCTGCTTTGGGCAAGCAGAGCTAAATGTACAGCAGGGAAGCCGTCAGTTTGTTTGCAAATTATTTCGGCAATGTCGCCGAGATCACTTGTATGCTGCCTGCAGGTCTGTCCCCTCCCGCCGCCCCCTTTCCGCCAGCTACCTCTCTCTCCGCCAGCTGGAGATCCTCTCTTCAGGCTGGAGAGTGGATAGCAGAGCTGAGAACGTCCATTCTCCGCACTGCTCTGTGTAAACCGGGGAGCTGCACTCGCAGCCTTCCCCTCTCAGCTGTCATAGGAGAGCCAGCACAATACTCTACTCAAACTCCTGTATTGGAGGTGGCAGGTTCAATAAAGAGAACCTGTCACCCCCAAATTCTATCACACAGGGGCTTGTTAGTTCCTGTGTGATAGCAATAAAGTTAAGTTAAAAAAATTGATAAAATTATACAATAAATAAAAATTAAGTAAAAAAAACTAAAAGATAATAAGATAAAAAAATTATAAAAAATAAAAAATAATAAGAAAAAAATATAAAAAAGTGAAAGATAATAAGATAAATAAAAATGTAAAAAAAAGTAAAAAAAATAATTAAAATAAAAAAATAAGTAAAAAAAAAGCAGCAGTGAGAGTAAATATGGCCCATTGTGTATCCTGAACCAACCTGAGCTCACATTACCTGTTCCTGTTCTGCTGCTGACCTGTATAAACCCTTCTTACTTGTTTGTGTGCTGGATTGTTTTATGTCTGGTGTTGTTTGTGTTGATGTGAGCACAATAAACCGTATTGTCTTTCACTTTAACGGTTATCAGTGTTAGGTTTCCTGTTCATGAAATCTAATCCTGCCACATGTCAGAATAATATTAAAGTGCTAAGGTTTATGACAGTCTAAAATCAATATAAATGTCTAACCTAGGAAAATACATTTGTTTTTCTTTTTTTCTTTTCTTAATGTTTGTATGCCTATAAGTATCACAGTGGTTAGTATCAGCTCAGTATAAGGACATAAGGGTCTTGAGGAATCCAGGCTTAATTATATGTATCCAATAACTAATCATTTGTCTACACCAGCGATTCTCAACCAGGGTTCTCAAACTGTGTAGCCTCAGGACCCACATTTCATCTTGCTCATTAGGTTAGCGACCCAAGTCGCACTGCAATCAAATGCACGGCATTAGTGTACTGCGCCTTTTGGTGCAGGTGTACGAACTGTGGGTGGGAGGTGCCTTTGGGGTACCATTCAAATGAATGCATGGTAGGTGCGATTGTGTGGTACAGTGAGTTAATTGCACGGTACTATGTGATTATCACCCTGTACTAGTGTAAATGGGCCCTCAAAAACACTGAAATGCATACAAAATCACAGGCACAATCTCAGACACTATCAATCTCAGACACAGACATTCTGACACACACACTCCTAAAAAATTAAATTTTTTTAAAGGTCCACCTGTAATGAAGCTCTATCCATAGGTGCAGTGCTTGTACAGCCTCCATGCGTGCCCGTAGAGGTGCCGGCGGGAGCCAGAATGTGATGTCCAGGCACCTCCTACAGGACACGCGAGGAAGCTGTAAGCAATGCATGTGTGGATGAAGCTCCCTTGCGGCCATAGCCCCATCCAATCCCACCTCAAGCTGACACTCGGTGCTGGGCAGCATATTTTGAATGGCTGCTTGGCGTGAGAACTGACAGTGCTGCGCTAGGTGGAGGCAGAGGAGCCTCTCACCTAGGAAAGTGGAAGGCATGCGGCGACCCACTAAACACGGAGTCGCAACCTCTTTTGGGTCACGATCCACCAGTTGAGAACCAAGGCTCTTAAGGTTGCTAGGGGGTTCCTGGAGTGGCAGATTGTCCTGATAGTGCAGAGTTTCAGAGCCAATATCATTGGCCAGAGAAAGCAGCTGGACACCAATGATCTTTTAAGCTGTCTGTAAGGATGGTATTATTTCAACTGGCCACCAATGTAAGAGGGGCAATATTCCCACTGACCGACAATGCAGGTGGCTTTCTTCCAACTGACCACCAATATAGGGGACATCCTTCCTCTTACTGAACATAGATGTACAGGGAAGCCTCTTTTACTGACTATATAATAAAAGGGTGTTTTTTTTAGCTGCTGACTACTAATGTAAGGGGGAGCATACTTCCTACTGACATCCACTGGAGGGGGCATTCTTTCCCTTACTAAACATAAATATATGGGGACACCTCCACTACCAGTCACCAATGTAAGCAGGGCCGTCTTTAACGCAGGGCAAAAGGGGCAGTTGCCCAGGGCCCAATCATTGTTGTGGGGCCCAAAGCAGCTGCCCCTTCAGCCCACATAAGATAAACACATGGCAGCCTCACCTGTGTAGGCAACCGCTGTCTCACCTCATTCTTTTCTCTCTCCCCTTGCTGTCTCTCCCCGCTCTCTCCCCTGGCTGTCTCTCCTCTCTCTCTATTCTGGTTGTCTCTCTCCTGGCTGTCTCACCTCATTCTTTTCTCTCTCCCCTGGCTGTCTCTCCTCGTTCTCTCCCATGTCTGTCTCTCCTCCCTCTCTCCTCGTTCTCTCTTGTTTATTCTAAAAAAAGTTGCAGTGTGGTGTTAGACTGTTCGGGATTCGCTTGAAGAAAAGGCAGCAACCCTTGCAGCACCATTCTGTTTACTATGCGTTCGGCATCACATAGTGTTGCCCCCACCTCTTCCATATGCTGCTGTTAGGGCCAGGGGGGGGGAGGGGGGGCAAGAAATTGTTTGCCCAGGGTCCAATCAGTATTAAAGACGGCCCTGAATGTAGTAGAACCCTTCACTGAACACCAGTACAAGGAGGCATTTCTCTACTGACCACCAATACAAGGGAGTCTTTCTTCTGGAAATAATTATTGTTTTTAATATTGTGATTATTTTATCATATACATTGTGCTAAAAAGATCCACATAGGGTGTCATGTATTCCATGTATGATACATTTGTTATTCTTTTATTTATTATTATATCTGTAACTTACTAATCTTGCTAGTTGCAGTGAGCTGTAGATACAAATGTTAGAAGGGGTTCCCTGAGACCTGAAAGCTATTTCAAGGGTGCCTCTGGGGTAAAAACTTGTTTTACAAACACTTACAAAGTTACACAGCAACTGCTTTCAGTAGTCTTGTGGCTTCTGTACTATTGAGAGTTGCACACGGTAGATAGTCTCTTTTCCATACATAACATGAAATGTAGACATTGCATAAACTCACCATTGACAAGTTGAAAGCTCTGGTGACCATGCATATTCATAGGTAAAGTATATCCAAGTACGTTGGTAAACACATTCGCTCTCACTGCGTCCCCTAAGTCTGTAGCCAGTATCACATGTGATTTCAATTTTATCTGAAGAAGAGAATCCATGGCCATGGATTTCAGGATCGTAACTGATGCCATTTTTAAGAGTTACACGCCCATTTCTAATATTTGGTGAACTGCAACCATTTTCTGCAAAAAGAAAATTATATATGAAAACCTTAAAAATGTGCCTCTTGCTCCCTTTTGGTCTGTTAAAAAAGAACTCTGGAGTTTTATCAAACTTACCTTTGCAGTTGGGCCACCCTGCAAGGACTGCAAGATTAAGTGCTCGTTTTGGTCTATGGGTGCAAATAAAGAAGATATGTTCACCAGATCAGTGGCTCTACGGCAGTCAGCACTCACCTCTTTTCCCCTCTGCTTTGGCATGTCCCTCAGCATCCTCACATCTAATGCTAATGAATGGACGTGCATTAGACATGATGATTTGAGTGGTCCATAGACTGCTGGAGCCCAGGGAAGTAGAGGCTGTGCGGACCGGCCTAGCATATATCTTCTGTTTTTCAGCCCCTAAACTAAAATGAGCCCTTAACCCTTGCAGTGTAGTGGTAGATCCCACTGTAATGGTTCATTTTGTAACTATACCATGGAATTATTTTTGTAATAGCTGTTCCACAGGTGCACAAAAAACTGGTAATCCTGCAAGAAATGCAGTGAGCTGCTAACATCCTGTACACTCTGACCCTGATTTACTAAAGATGTAGAGCATGTTCACTTTCAAAGTGCATTTTCAATAAAATTATAATATAAATATAATTTAATATAATAAAATAAAATAATAAAAAAAGTTTCCTTAATCTCCACTTAGTGTTTTTATACCATGACATCCAAACTGGGTACCAGTATTATAGGAGCAAGGTAGAGGTCTAATATGAATATATTTAGAGTGAACCTATGAGTAACTGTACAAGTCTGTATAGATAACATTCCAAACATGTCCAAATATACACCAACAGCATCATTTTTCTAACAAGCATTTTTTATTCTTAAAAAGCCATATTTGAGCCCCAATCTAGTGAATTTACCTAGGCTGAGATTATATTATCAGTTATTATTATGATTATATAATTAATATTATTCATGCCCCCACCTCTTCTGCTACATGTCAGTCTGCCTCCTCCCACTTGCTCCATGTCAGTCTTTTGCACCCCATGTTGCCAGCTGAAGCACCCCCACCAGCACCACCACCAATGTCATGGTAGCAGGGCTAGCCTGGCATTGCTGGGAGTGGGACTGGTGGTGCCAGATTTTGCACATTCTGACATGTAGCCAACATGCCTGGGTCAGTTTGCTACCCTCAGGGGCTTTTTATGCTGCTGCGTTGCCCATTTAGTCTGCAGCAGATGAAAACAAACAAGCAAATGCATATATATTGTAATATATTATTTGCCTGCTTATGCTTCTGTGTGTGAATTAAAATA